TCCTTTTTTTACTTAAATTAGTCGCGGTGCAGTAACATCTCTGAGTCATGTACAACATAACTCGACCAGACGTCGCCGAGAATGGTGGTTAGCAATCTAGCTGATTCAACGTAGAACATGGGTTGATTGAGGGAACGTGAAAAAAGTATAGTACATTTAGTATACCATTAAATTTTGCAAAAGTTCTCTAACGAATACAGGACATAAGGCGTTAACGAAACTGGTATTTATGTTGGGTGGGGGGTAATTCGTTAGGACGAAAGTTTCATATAAATAGAATGCACAGAGTGCACTGAAATAGTAGAAAAATCAATAATATTGGGACAGTTGAAAAAAAAAATGAAAAAATTGTTTATCAAAGTGAGATCGCGTTGGTTATGTTCAGATGACGTGACGTTTCTGAGAAACGATCTTGACTGATGCTGTTCATCAGACTTGAGATGGATTATTTTTATTCTTGTTCTTATCTTTATTAAACGAAATGTTGGTTGTCCAAAAATACCAGTTCCGAAGCGATATGGATTAAAAAGCTTCAAAGTGATATGGATTTTGCAGATTGATAACCATTTGATAATTAATTTTGTTATCTGTCGTTGATATGAGAAAGGATTTCATATATTATTAATCCTGGTTCAAATCCAAGTTACGGTTCAAATTTATCGAAAACGTTAATAAATTTGAAATTTTAATCGCTTGCACCGCTTCAATATCCGCAGTGAAACGCGAGGTGAAGCGTTTCAATTAGGCGTAATCGCACGCAATAAGTTTTATTAATACACGGTATCAATCGTTATTTGGATGTTTATTCATTACAAAGCTCTGTTCAAGTTAAAACGGATATTACCGTAGGGTAACGTATTGTTTGAAATTGCAACGAGGATGCGAGAAATTTATATATTTTATTAGCCTTAACTGATATCTTAATTCAAAGCGAAATTCAAGACGTGAGCCTGCTGGTAAAACGAGGTCACAATTATGGATCAAGTATGTGCTACGTGTAAAACGCACCGCGTATAGTGTAGGTGGTAGTAGTACAAGTGTCATAGGCCCCAGGGACTATTATTACTTGGTTAAGAGACGAAGAAATATAACAGACAGCAATTGAGCCTCACGTAACGGATCTGAAACTAAGCACGTTACGTAATTTAAACGACACATGTATATATCGGGCATAATATATCCAATTACATGTAGAATTGATTTTTTTTTTTCCAGAACGTGTCAGGCTATTTTGAAAAACATGAGATCGGGTGCATCAGCTAAAAAGTTGTAAAACGTGTGTTATTATGTCGTAGTTATTTTCAACTCACTTTTCAGAATTGTTATTTAACCTTTTGACCGAAAACTTGGATTATTTTCGTTCGAGCCGATTCGAATTGTTGTAACAGGTCGAGAATGGATAGTTCCAAAAAGTGCATACCTCCGAAAAGTATGCATTTTTGTATTCTGACGTATTTTTACGTATTAACGAATTATAATAGTGAAAATTCCCGTAAAATTATATTTTAAAAAAAGACTTTTTTGATATTTTTTCATTAAATATTGATTTAAGAGAAAAATGTTTTAAGCAAAAATTGTATCTGGTAAAAATGACATCTTTTATTTCCTATGAATTTTTATTATAAAACTATTATTTTTCGAGAAAAATGAGATAATGTTCAAAGAAACAAACATTCGTAGAAAAGAATTGTAATAAAGAATAATTATGATTGACAGACTTTGTTACTATAATTTCATTAGTTTTAGTAAATAATTATTTTAATTACGCACTTTACCGCGGGAAGATTGAAATTTAAATATTAAAGTCTTTAGGTTCTTTAGGTAGGTTAGTTTTTTGTTTATTTAACATTATCTTATTTTTCTCGAAAAATAATAGTTTTATAATAAAAATGCATAGAAAATAAATTTTGTAATTATTTACAAGCTACAATTTTTTAAACATTTTTTAACATTAATTTTGCGGGTATTTCCACTATTATATTCGTCATCAGCACGTCAAAATACGTCTGAATACAAAGACTCATACTTTTCGGAGTTATGCGCTTTTACTTTGAACTTTACTTACTATTGAACTTTATCCGTTTTAATTTCTCGTTTTTCATTTTAGACGTTCTGTGCAAAAGTTATGGATATTCTTCGATAGCTATGTGCATCCCGAATCCGATGCAATATAGTATAGACAATAAAACATTTCAAAAAATAGTTCAGAATTTTTTAGCGTTACAGTACTTCAAAGAGCACGTATGAATATGTACACTTTTTTTTTTATGAAGTTAAGTTAGTGAAAAACACGCTGGACAAAAATAACCCTGGTTTATGGTCTGAGGGTACCAAACATACCAATTACCGGGTTAGGGTTAACAAAACGTTTAACATACGTTATTTGAATACATCTGATTGTGAAACGTATTGAAATATCACATCACAGATACATATGTTAGCTATACTATTCAAATGACACGTTTAATAAGAACCATGCATTTTAAATGTGTGTTAATTCAATCCGTTTAAAACGTATACAAATAACACAAACAAAGCGGGTTATTAAATGACATCACTAGAAATAAATGAAAATAAAATAATATACGTATCTAAATGCGTTAATATAATTTGTACTTATAATTAGATTTACAATGTAATGCATAATCTGGATAGTATCGTAACTGTATGACTTGAAATAATAATTGTTTACCAAGAAATCTGGTTACATTTAGTATGTATACACTACATACTATACACTATACACTATACACTGCGTACTCAATAAATTCATCATTAAAAGTGTCGAATAAATTCGTCAGATATATATATATCACATGATATTCCAATATTAGTAAATATTTATTTTTTTTATTTCCACGTCTACGTTGATTTTAAACAATTCCATTTAAACGAATTCTGTAGCATCACACGCACAATGAATTACATTAAACGTTATATAGTGTATTTTATGGATACCTATAATATATAATTCATATATAATATCCTTGATTCTATATTTTATTATATTGTAGTTAAAATCGATATGCATTTAATATTGTGACGAAATGTGACGCAGTTATTTGAATTTAATCGCTCGTAAAATCAAATGAATTTAAATTGTGTATTGAACCGGTTTCTGAAGGTTTATGTGCGAATATATTTTACCTAACTTTGCGGTTTTGACTTTTACAAACAAAGTAGGAAAATAAGTATAAAATTAAATTTTCATTGCATAATGATCAACAGAGCAAGAAACCGCTACATATAAACTACAATAAAATTTAAAAAATCGCTATCTATATTAAGCATCAAATAATTCAATTATTTTATTATTAAAAAAAAGTTTAATCACTGGGAATGAAGGTCAAGAGGTTTAATGACCGTCCTTAACTTTTCGAATGTCACTGAAGCATGTTTATCACACAAAATTCACAGCTGATGTTATGATAATGATAACTAATACTTTAAGTAATATCGATAAATAAACAGTAAAATTTAACGGCAATCTTAGAGATATTGTTGTAGTATAGTTTCAAAAGAATAAGATTAATCCATCAGACAGTGGCCTGAAAATTTTATTAAAAATTAAACGTATGAGATCAATAGAGTGCTATGCCCCTGAACTATTTTGGTATCTCCTGAACTATATGAATTTCTAAGTCTTCTAATACAATTATTTCAATGAGTGACAGTTGAGTATAACTGGTGCTCTGAGACTAAGGCTAATTTAGTGTCAACGACTACGATTATTATATAATAAAAATTAGTAAAAAAACTGAGCATACCAAAAATAATTACATCCTAAAAAAATACTATGACCAATCTATAATGAATCTAACAGACATGAGAAGCTATATCCAAAATAGTATTTATCTGAAGTCTTAAAACTTACCATCGCAGTGAATATCTTTCTAAAAGCTTTTCGTGACGGAATACGCGTCGCGCATTCATTTCTTTCTAATGTACAGAACAAGTCAAAAGTCTATCTACCTGAATAGTAGAAATAAGAATCGCAGTACCCTATAAAAAAATTCCTCGATAAAAATATAAAAATGAACGACATACGCAAATAATAGTACAATTTTGATCTACTAGTTATAATATTTAAACAAATTATTTATTAGATGGCGATTAGATTGACAAATCAGGAGCATTTGAATTCGAATCTAGAGCCTTTGAAATAAGTATCAGAATCGTAATAAACCTAAGGAATTGTAAGCATACAAATACTTGACGACTAGACAGTCAGCATATTAATAGATGTGATTCAATGGAACACAGTACAATTTTAAACAAACTTAATACAAGTGCAGTGGAAGCACTGTACACGAAACTGGTTTTGCTATAGCCCGTACACAGCGCCGGGATCGATCTTTAGCAGGTGAGGACATAACCTCCGAAACCAATGGAAAATTAATATCATAGGTTTTCTACGTACCAGAGCAACGAGATCCGCGGTCGCCTGCACATATGTAGACACGTCACGAAGTAACCAACGAATGCTGGGTCACGGTTAAATTCACTGAAATTAAATCGTGTCTGACTAAGGTCAGGGTGAATCCACTGTCGCGCACGCCTGACGCTGTTTTTCTGCGTTGCGACTCGTAGCACTCGCGCTCTTCTATCTAACCTAACTTAACGTACGTAGTGGCTTGCTCTCTTGTGTTGCCTTACTGCCAGGCGTTCCCTTGTATGTGCACTTCACTGATACCCCTTCTTCTCTTATTCTTACATTTCGTAAGGCTTTCTTGATGTTATTGACGTCTAGTTTTTTTATGTGCCATTATTCTTTATGCTGGGAGTTTAACCAAGTCACCGCACGAAATGATTCGCGCATGCGCTCTTCTATGATAACAGTAAGCAAGATGTTTGGATTGGTTATCGAGCTGGCGAATAGGAAAGTAGGATATTTGTAGAGGATTTAAAAATAGTTTTTGATCTAATCTCACAAGAAAGGTTAAACTTATACTGAAAAAGATCTGTTAGAGGTATTTTACTTGTGCCCCTGTAAGTAAACAGTTAAATGATGCCTACATATGTACATACCTATTTAGAATTGTTCCATGTAAATGAAAACTTAAAAATATTTAGAACAACTGAATGGAGTAGGTACTAGATTTAATTAAATATTACGTATAAATATTATGATATTAATAAAATGAAAAGCACATTACCGTTAGTGAAATATTTTTTAATGGTATTTGACAAAAATGTATTGACTACAAAGTTGAATCCTAACTGCTTTCTCTGTATACAGCGGGATTTATGGAAAATTATGGATTCACGTGTAAAAATGATCGAAAGTTCATTGATCACTAGCAATAACGTGCACAGGTACAAATCCCTCACGAACTGAAGTTGGTTGACCCTATTTCTGTATTGATGGTCTACAGCATATAAGCAATATACGGAGGTCTATAAAAAAATATCATTTAAAAATAATTTTGCTCGTTTGTAAGCAGCTATTTATTTTACACGAAACAAGGGAGACCAGGGCAATATTAGCCACTCGAAAAATTAACGACATCTCAACTATTTATTATTCTTAAATCAATTTGTTATCGTGCATACATTTTTATCTAAACAAACTGATGTGAGTATTCCTATTTTTTTTTTTAATTTAGTTACATTATAGTGTATTCTATTTTACATCAGTGTTTCACTTAAACCTGGAACTTTTCTAAAAACCGTGTCCAACTTTGCCTTTCCTACATTATAGATTCATACTGCGAAACATTTATTGGCAAATACGAAAAATGCATATTTTATATTCTCATCAATGAGAGAAGTTTGTACTTTTGTGTTACGATAGAATAAATATAGGCCAATTTTCTTATCTATATACGAAGAATAAACGTTCTCTTTAATATATACGTACAAACGTATATCGTTTGTACTTTATCAAAATCGTAACCAAAACGTGTAAGCCATTGGAAGCAGATATGCATCACAGTATTATACAAAGTGAAACATGTATGTTAGAAATATATTGCAGCGATACACTTTTAAAAAGGTTAAAATCATAGAAAAATTTGAAGCTCACGTTAATATTAGATACGGTTTGCAGGGCATTAAGTATTTTATGGTGCGATCGATACAGATTAATTTCTAGACATCAGACAACAAAAGAAGGTTCAATAAATTATTAATCAATCACTTAATTGCGAGGCTTACTATTTTTTAAGGACAAAATTGTTAATCCCTCAAATGCAATTCAACTTAAAATTGGATTACTGTAATTGTTATATGTATGCATATTGCTCGACAGACTTATCTTTGGTAACGAATATGCGATTAAATTAGAAAATACTTTTTAAAAATTATTTTATAAGATTTTATTATAGACGTGTTAAATATTTCATATTTTCAATGGTCAATCAAGAACCTGCATTATTACTATTGTAATCTATTATCTCGATGCAATGTTATCGCGAAATTTAGCTCATGACAAAATTTAGGAAAACAAATTAATCGAGTGGCTCCACCAGTGAATGGACAGACCCCAGTAAGTGAACGTGCACATTATATCTATATATAGTCATTCTAACAAGGGTGTTCAATAAGTGGATGGGTTTTTAAAAGCATTCGTTACTGGTGGATTTACCCTATAAAAGATGAATAAAGTCGAATTTTTCTATTATACAATTTTCTTGTCACTTGTATTTTTGGATTTAGTGGAAAATCAATTTTACGTGACAACGTTCGCGTGGAGTACTGTGCCGCAAAATAGAAGTACTTAATACAAAAGCAAATGTATGTACAGGATTTCCTATAAACGAGTAATTCGACAAAATCTGTAAATAATTTCACAAGGGAAAAACAAGTCAAGCACTCAGTAAATACAATTGAAAAAGAATAAGAAGAAAATGTATTTCACGAAGCGAATATCGCTTTTTTCCCCACACTCTCTGTTACACCTGAAGAGACCTCCGGGAAAACGGAAACCGTAAAAACTTTATTCCACTTTCTGTCCCCGTATAGGATAGCGACTTTTATCGTGGCGCACCTCTCCGTCTCACCTCTGACCTCCAGCTTGAGCTTCCACGCTCTGCGTTCGCTCTGAAGCTTCTACACTTCTCGCGAGGGAGCCTTTTCTCGATTCTTGCCGCAACGTTGCTTTCTGGCGGATTGTAAAATAACGCTCGTGTAAAAAAAGGGGGCAAACTTTATTCAGCGAGAATTCTCGTTACTCGCTTTTGGATTTAAACGATCGTAAAGAACGGATTTTTTTCTTTCCTTCTTCCTCTCCTTCATAACGGAAACACGTGCCTATGGCCACAAGTGCCGTGAACTTTTACGGAAAAGTACATTTATTTCGGAGAGTTTAGAGAAAACCTATAAATTATTGGACCAAGAATTTCATTTGGAAACTATATTACATCATTTTACATATACATATGTATTGGGTTCTTTCTGATAATACTCATTTTTATTTTTTATCAACTTTCAAACTCGTGTAATTTCAGAACGAGTTTGAACACATCTACAATTTAATGTATTACGTACATAGGGATTTAGAATCCACGTGACAAGAATATTATAAATTTACAAATCAAATATACAAATATATTGAATAATAAAAGATAATTCAATAACTTTTTAAAAAAATGCACTTTCAATATCAATGGTTTTGAGGGTAGGTACGGTACGACGAGTAATCCAGTGGGGTAACTTGGTCTATCTCCAAGGCTAATTAATTTCAGGGAAGTCATGATACATTTTTGGAAAGGCTTTCGTGTCATTATTTTCTTAAGGGTCTTAAGTTTAGCCCATCTTTCCTTACTGGTTCTTTACCTACATCCTTACAAGTTTTTATATTACTACTTTTACTGTATTTACTGTAAGTGTTATAAAATAGTACATTATGATACAAATGCGGAAAGTTGATGATTCCTGACGAGTGAGTCAGGAACCCTCGCTTCGCTCGGCCGGCAAACGTCACACGAGTAGGAATCACCAACCGCACGCGTATCATATACTATTTTTTGCAACAATGTACGGAAAGTTCGCAGGATATGCACCAAAAGAAGCGTAACATTCCCGTACGGGAATGTTATGATTCCCGTACACTCTGAACTCATCAAGAATCGGCCATTTCGTGCTTGTTTTTTGGTGCACAAACTATATACTTTCCGTACAGCGTTGCAAAAATAGTTTTTTTTAATGTCGTAGGATATTTAGTGAAAGTTTTCATTGTTTGGTACAAACGTGACTACGTTTATAAAAATACCCGATGACCTTGTCACGGAATGCCTCGAAGCAGTCATTTTCCAAGAATTGCAGAATCGCACAAAAATCGCATTTGCGTATAGCAACTTTTATTGCGCTTTTTAATCACTACACGCGTAACGCGTTTGTATATCTATAAACACGTGACCGATAATCTAGCAATATTTATAGACGGTATTACCAACCACTAGAAAATATACGGTCAGAGTTTGACTGGGCATTTTTATAAGACGTTGTCATGACTTTTTTTTTTGATTTACTGAAAGACGTACTCTGACGAAACCTCTTTGACAGCCTTGACTTCATTTAAATGCTATTACCATTAATTATTATTATAATTACTATATTCCTATAGCATAATATACATATATATTTTATGCTTGTTATTTGAAGTTTTTGGATAGAAATATATGAGTTGATGTTTCCTGGCTATAAATATGTTAGTTTAGATGAAAATCAGGCCAGGAGATGTATGATCAAAGAAAGACCAGATGAAATAAATATATCCTAGTTCAAAGCTACGAGACAAAAAATAAATCATATCAATTTCAAATTAACCAATAAAAATATACCGCTATACTAGATTTTCAAAAATTCGATATCTACTCCGCTTTCTACTATTCTAGTTATCTGTATAGTTAGATATAAGGTTTTTTAAATATTTCTTTATGTTCCCTTTTTTTTTATTTTCAACCCTTTTTTCTCTGTTTTTCAAGTTAACCAGACGTTATTCAATATAAAGATTACACAGAAGAATATTATCGCATCCGTATTCCAATTTTATTCTAGAATACTCTATTCCAAAATCAACTTCAGCTGATACGTTTGTTTTGAATAACATTTAGAGATATAACATACCAGAAATCGGATTTCTTAAGTATGATATATGTTTTTTATTCGTCGAACAATTTAACCGTATTGATAACTCTAAAAGAAAATTACAACCTTCACACCTAAAGTATTGAACCATATGATCCTATCTTCTAGAAATAAATATTTTCTCGAACATCCTGTTTTGAATTCGGAAACACTAGTTTCCATCATCTTGATTTTTCTTGTAATTGTAAATTGAATTCGTTCACAAGATTATTGAAAATTTTTCGCACGAACATATTCACACGATTCACCCAACTTCATTATCCATACGTTGTTATCTCTACAAACTGTGTATATTTCATTTAATCGAGAAAAAAGGAATTTATCGATACTAAATTAATTTTTTTCTTGAACACGCGAAATTATTAATCTGTACCATTTACAAATAATTTGTATATTACTTAGAGTTATATTTCTGGTAAATGGTTTTATGCATAAGTCTATTGATTATGTAATACCGCACATTTTAAAGTTTTCAAATTATCGGCTGCTTATCTTGATATTGTAATTATCTTAATATCAATACCGGGTAGGAACAGCTAGAATCTATCGGGATTTCAGAATAACTTCGTAATACAGACGAAAGATTTTCCATTATGTTAAAAAGAAGAAAACATTTTCTATTAAGTAAAATGTCAATGATATTTATAACTGTCTGACTCGTGTCAAGAATGACCCCCGATAATTTCAGGTAATTAAATTATTAATTGCCAAGTGCTTGCGTCAGA